AGACACAGATTCACATGAAGCAGTATAGAATACTCACCTATTTGTGACTGAGCGCTCCGGCCTACACTATGTCCCCCGCCTGTACCACCATCGGCGGTCGAGCCATCAGCCTCTCTGCCCCCACCAATTGGACTTCCATCCCACAGTCCCTTCACCTTGTTCCCTCCCTTGCCTCATTCAAGACCTTCCTCTTTGTCCGCGCATTCGGTCATCCTCCTCCTGTCCTCCACCCTTCCTGATCCCAACCAATGGCTTATGGGTAGAGGCATGATTATGGTTACCAGTCTTATAGCCTTATTGAGTAGTGCAGCAGAAATCAAGTCTACAATTGGGGTAAGCCACCTCTGTGTTAGAGAGGGGAACATCAGTCAGCCTTCTCATCTTTCATCACTGTTCAACCAATTGGATAAGCACCTTAATCATGCCTCAGTGTCTCTTAAGTTCTTCGGAGTTTTGTGTGAAGTACAATGACTGTAAATTTCTAGGCAAAGAGGAGTCTCTGACTTGCATTGAAAATGACCTCAATACTCCACTGTTTGTTTTTCCCTGTCTAGCTAAAATACATTGTTGGGTTTCAGGAGATCACAATAGCTTAGCTGACATAGTAACCAGCAATCGGTTCCTATGACTGGAGACTCGTATGGTGTAAATGAGACGGGTCCTTACAAAGTGACACAAATTTTAATTTCAAGGTAAAACAAACAGTTTCTGGGATAATCGATCACTGTAATAGATGAAAAGAACTGTAAGATGAGGCATGAGGCCGTGGTAAATGAGTATCAATCACACTTGGGGGTCAAATGTTCCTTTTTAATCAAAGAAACTGGCTTTGCATTCTCCTCTTCAATATCCGTATGCTCCCTCTTGGTGACATAATCCGCAGACATGGGGTCAACTTCCACATGAATGCGGATGACATCTCTGCCTCCATCCTTGACTCCAGGACCACTGCTGTCCTGACTGAATGTCTGTCGGACATCAAGTCCTGAATGAGAGCTAACTTTCTTCAGTTGAATGTCAACACGACCGAGGCCCTCCTAATTGACTTCCATCAGCACCTCCTCACCTCAGGGACTGACAGCATCACCATCCATGGTTGCACACTCCACCTTACTAAGCCAGTCCGGAACCTTGGGGTCTTGTTCAACCCTCAACTATCCTTTCTATCCCACATCTGCCTTCTACCACCTCCGCAACGTCGCCCTGCTCCGCCACTGTCTCACACCGCAAGCTGCCGAGACCCCCATACATGCTTTCATCACATTGACTATGCAAATTCATTGCTTGTCGGCCTCCCCAACTCCTCCCTCTACAGACTGCAGATCATCTAGAACTCTGTAACCCGTGTCCTCTCCTGCACTCAGCTCCGCGACCCTATCACCCCCATCCTTGCCCAACTCCACTGGCTTCCCATCTCACAGAGGATACAGTTCAAGCTCCGGGTCCTCATCTTCAAAGCCCTCCATGGTCTTGCTCCCCCTTACCTCTGCGACCTCCTAACCTCCTACCATCCTGCTCGCTCCCTCGCTCCCTCACGTCCCCCACCTCGCTCGCCTCACTATTGGGAAGCGGGCCTTCTGTCACTCTGCCCGCACCCTATGGAACTCCATCCCGCAGTCTCTCCGCCTCACCCCCTCCCTTGCCACCTTCAAAACCCATCTCAAGACCCTCCTCTTCAACCCTGCTTTCGATCTCCCTGCTTCCCCCCTGCCTTCACCATCCCCGACCCCTGACCCCCAACTCAGGTCCGTAACTCCGTCTGTCCAGTGCCTTCGGACGTCCTCCCAACGCTGTACAAATATAATTTTGTTGTTGTTAATATCATGTTAGCGGTACCAGAATGTTACGAGGATGCATTTCCCTTTCTTTGTTCTTCTCGCATTTGCTCTACACTGACCTCCACTCCTCACTGACCTGCCCGCTCACTAGCCTGTCTATGCTACACTGCAGTCCTCCACAACCCAGCTCACACTATGCCAAAGCCTCTCATTTTCTCTCAGCAACATTAGCTTTGCTCAACTCCCAGCCGGCCTGCTCCATTCCACCCCACAATAAACTGGAGGTGAGTCCCTCTACTGTTGACAACACAGTATTACCAGCTGGACAGCTCCTTGTCTCTACCTCCTTGGCCATATTGCCATTCCGCTGCCCAACAATCCTTCAGATAACTTCATTGCTGTGTGTTCCCTTGTGTGACCTGGAATTGCACAAAATGGCTACCTTGTTTGTCTACAAATACACTTGAAAGCAATTCTGTGTGAAGCGCTTTGAGACGTTTCGATGTTATACGTGCTATACCAAATGTAAGGATGATTATTACACAAGAGAATGTGAATGTGTTTCCTTACCTAGTCCCATGCGCCTCTTCATCATTTTTAAACAGACGCTCACGCATTCACTCGAACACTCACATGCACACACTCAGCTGCTCAGTCTGAAATGCTGTACACTGCCCAACGCCTTGGGACATCCTCCCGATGTGAAAGGCACTAACAAATGTAATCTTGTTGTTGTTGCTCACATTTACATGCATATACACACACACCGGGCACAGTCACTCACTTGCATATGTGCACTCGCACTTTGACACACTCACATGCACATACTCAATTACGCACACATTTACGCCCAACCACACACTCCCTCGCACACACCAGCGATTACAATTAAGATGTCAAGAGCACCCCTCCCCCGAGCCCCCGGTTCTCTGTAGATTTATCTTCTATGGGACACTAAGGTCTCTGGCATCTTTAAAGGTTTCATTAGGACAGGCGGGCGGGCGGTGGGGGGGGGGTGCGGAGTGCTGAGCTGAGCAGTGAGGAACTCGGACAAAATAGGCTTTCTGACCTCTCTCACCTCTGACCGTTTGAGCTGGCGATCCTGCCAATCCCACTGCAGGCTTTTTTTTTAGTATGAACTTTGACTCGGGTTACTTTCAATGGCCGGAATCAGTGAGGAAACCATTCAGCCAGAAACTGCCACACAGGGCCGTTCAGAGGAGAAACTCAGCTACGCATTTCTAATCACCAACCATTAGATCTGAATCGGATCAAGTGAAGAATGCACGGCAGCTGCAAATACAGTAACACTCACATAAGTCGTATCAGTCGGGACCATATATTTAACGTGACTCATGCAAAGTATGGGTTATGTGAAACTTGCAAAAGGTATAGGAAATTCAACAAGATTTACCGGGCAGATGTATGACTTAGGCGATTATACAATTCATACTTATGTGAGTTTTACTGTATATATTTATCTCTGCAATCAGCATTTCCTACACCAATCCAAGTGCCGTGTTGCTGTTAAGTTACACTGGCTTCAAACAGGATTCCAGAGTGAATTTATTACCGCCCAATTTAACATCATTTTGGGTCCGGGATGAAAAGGTTTTGTGTTTAAGCCCCACTTTGGGACTTTGAGTTCATAGTCTAGGCTGAGGCAGGTCTGGTGCCTCTGTAACAGAGGATAGTATTGTTGTGCTCAAATCAATCAAAGTCTTGAGGCGACTGGGTGTGGCAGGCGAAAAAGCAACTGAGTTCACAAATATTCAGTGAAACAACAGCCTTGCACCGCCAATATGCTGACGCCATTTCAAGTCTTTTCGGAGCTGATCTCTGTTCTCACTGTTTCGCTCTTTGCCACAGAATACAGCTGCTCCCCTAGAACCAATGCCCCAGGGAGCGCTGTCCACTGACCACTGACCAAGAGTCTCAGTGACCACACAAGCTATTGATGCCCTGGCCATGATGGACAGACTGTCACCTTTTCCTGGAACACCCACCCCCACCTCCCACATTCACATAATCCATATCAACCCTCGAAATCCAGAGACCGTTCATAATCACTTCACAAATATATTAATAAAAAATTGCTCGCCAGCAATCAGAGGAACCTCTCCAAGATAACAATAATAATAATAATCCTTGTTTGTGGTACAGCGCCTTTAACATCAAGAGGATGTCCCAAAGCGCTTCACAGGATTTACTGTGGAGTGATTGTGTGTGTTTCTGGGTGAAACGCGGCAGCCTATTTGCGTACAGCAATGCACAAACCTGTTCCTGTTAGTTTGACACCAGATAATATCTCACAAGTTCCTCTCAAAGCAGAGCATATAATGTCACGTCTCTCAGCCGTCCCATCAACCCTCAGTTGCTTTATGGGTCATATGAGCAGGTTTTGTAACCACACTTTTACACATTGCACTCACTCAGTGAAGGAGTACTTTACCCCATGTCGCCCCCCACCCACCCCCCCCGTAATTAATCCGCACACTGTAATCACCTCATTGATTCTTGGAGGCCGACCTGTTCGAGTCCGAGTTAAGCTATTAACTGACGGAGAGGAAATCAATAGTGAGAGGTCTTTGCTCCCAGTGAAACAGGCAGCGCAGAAAACCAGAGCTGACAGTAATCGGTGCAGTAAGTTGCCGTTTGCCCAGTCAGTCCTCGCTGACCAACACTAAGAGGTGTGGAAATGGGTACACTGACCATTTCTGTCATGACTATCTAATGCACTGCACAAGACAGCGACTGCCTGTGAAGCACTTTAAGCCACTTTGACATTTTAGACGAAAAATACTATCATGTGAAAGTTTACAGCTTTATTTGCCAGCAATCGTGTAGTTTCTAATTTTTTGAGCTCCTTCCTTCACTCTCTCTTTCCCTCCCTCCCCGGGGGATGTGGTGGGGGGGTGTGGTGTGGTAAATAATAGCAGCATCTCTTTAATTTAAACATGTAAATGTGCCAGTAATAGGCATCCCCTGGGCACTGATGTGTAAAGAATATCAATCAGTTCAGCGTGTATTGATAACAATATTGATTATTCTCTGGGTATGGGTGTTGAACAGGTGATTGATTCTTTAAAGTGTCACTCAATCGCTTTCAACCCCCACCCCCCATCCCCACTGCGCTCACCTCCCCATTACAGGCAGCGTGTCCCTGTAACGACAGACTGGATGCCTATGGACCTTTTGTACGTTCTTGGACATTTCCATTCAAACTTTCAAAACGCTGGGAGGTATTTAATTATTAGAAAAGATTTTACATTTGAAGTGAAATCAAAGTCTGATCACTAAATTTAAATTGCGAGCTTCTCCTCTCTTCCACCCCATCACTGCACATAATCCACCCCCTCCCCCCCCACATCACAGGCCACCCCCTCACTCAACCCAGCTCAGCTGCAGGCTCTCGGTGATGAAGGTGAGGATGTCGGCATTCTCCTCGATGATCTTGGCGGTGGGTTTGCCAGCTCCATGGCCGGACTTGGTGTCCACGCGGATCAAGAGCGGGTTCCTCTGGATTGGGCACTGCCGCAGTGTGTGCTGCAGAGTCGCCAGGTACTTGAGAGAGTGCAGGGGCACCACACGATCATCGTGATCTGCCGACAGCAACAGTATGGCCGGGTACTGAACCCCGCTTGCTGGCACCCGGATGTTATGCAGTGGCGAGTACCTGCAGGGAGGGGGGAGACAGAGAGCGTCAGACCCCCAACCCCAAACCTAGGGTCTTGCGACAATTCTTTATTTATTCTGTGAAACCACGCCACAACCCATCTCCCGCGGTGACCACCCCCCGCCCCCACTCACTTGATGAGCCATTCAAACTCCTCGGCATTGTCGGAGCAGCCGAAGTCGGTGGTCCAGGCATGGCCGATGGTGAATTTGTGGAACTTTAACATGTCCATCACTCCCACCTCTGCCACCGCACAGCCAAACAGGTCAGGTCGCTGGTTCACACATGCCCCTGAGAGAGAAAGAGAGAGAGAGAGAGAGAGAGTGAGAGAGTAAGACAGAGAGAGAGTAAGAGAGAGTTTAAGAGAGTGAGTAAGAGTGTGTATGTTTGAGTAAGAGAGAGCATACGTGATGCAGACAGCGCGTGAGGGAGTGTATACGAGGGAGTGATGAGAGAGAGTGCGAGAATGACAGTGAGTATGAAGCAGTGTGAGGAATAAGGAACAGTGAGCGAACAGTGTGAGCCAGGCTCAGTCGCGCCCTCTCCGCTCAGTGTCAGGGTTGAAACTTATCTGGAGACTCACCGACGAGAAGGCCGCCATTGGAAGCGCCATTGATGGTGAGTTTGCTGGGACAGGTGTAGCCCTGATTGATCAGGTACTGGCCTGCACACTGGAAATCATCAAATCCGTTCTGCTTCTTCCCCAGGATCCCAGCTGTAGAGGCATACAGCAGAGTTACTGAGCGGCAATTATCACTGAGTCTGTCGCTTGTACTCTCACGTCTGGGTCAGAGGGTTGCACGTTCAAACCCACTTCACAGACCTTCAGCTCGCAGTCCAGGCTAATGCTGAGGGGCGAGAGCATCGCTTTGTGGGATGAGACCTTAAACTGAGCTCGCGAACATACTATGTTCAGACGGATGTTAAAGATCCCGTGACACTATCGGAAAAGGGAAGGGAAGGTTCCTCCCGTTTGGGAGACCTTTGGCTGCTGCCCTCGTCTAGAAAAACAGTCACTAGACTCCAAGGATTGGCTGTCACAGGATAGATGTTCTGGTGACAAAGTAATAACGCACCGGAAAAAAAATAGAAGTCTCCACAACGGGTTGTATTCCGGTTGGGAATATGTCAACGAAGGGGACAGTGAGCGGCTCAGGGTCATAGCCTGACCAGTGAGAGGAGAGCAGCAGCTCAATAATGTTTAGATGTTCCCGCTCCGCAGCTCCGCTCTCACCCTCATGCCATGTTTCTCCGTATTCTCCTCCTCCTCGGATATTAGCCACGGCCAGGATCCCACCCAGGTGTCTGACGAAAACCAGGTAAGAAACGCTGGAACCACAACAAGAGTTTGTGAGCTACCAAGACATTCACCTCAATTCACTGACCTCCAAGCCCCGAGCACATGTGCCCCACCCTCACCGCGCACACTCCGCCCCCACGGTTACACTCCGCCCCCTCAGAGCACATGCTCCACCTCTCACTGCACACGCTCCGCCCCCACCACGCACACTCCCACATACTGCGCACTCACTCATAGGTCGGAGTCAGGGAGATGCTGAATCCTCCGTATCCGTACAGTAAGACGGGGTGCGAGCCATCTAGTTTGATCCCCTTCTTGTGCACAATAAACATCGGAATCTGAGTCCCATCTTTACTTGGGAAAAAAACCTTCAAGAAATGAGGAGAGGATCAGGATTGCATTTCCGTGGACCTTCCCCAAGAACAGTGTTAAACTGACACTCAGACTCGTGGGAAATTCATTTACTGAGTCTGTCTGACTGCAGCAACCCTATCACTATTCCTACCTGAATCGTCTGGTATTCGGAGAAACTGAATCCTTTGATCTCCACCTCCCGGAAAATCTTGGGCTCCAGGGTCTCCCTGGTCAGGTCACAGTGGTAGATGACCCCTGAGCAACACAGTTAGCAGTTAGCTGAGCGGAACTCTGGAGCTTGGCTTTAGCATTTGTTCTCTGGTGCCCTCCCATCCTCCCCATCTTTCCCTCTCCACCGCGCTCTTCCCCCTCCCCCTGTGACTACTCCAAATTGCTGAGCTTGCGAGTGCCAGGCTAGAATCCCTGACAATTCTGAAGGAAACTGACCCGGCGTCAGGTAGGACGTGAACATATAGAAGATTTCCGTGTTCTTCTTCCGCCCGCTGTATCCCACCACGCTGCCCACATCCAGAGGAAGGTTCTTGAGGAATTTTCCAGTAGGGAGGTGGTAGAGTTGCAGGACGTCCTTCACGTTGTGCAGGAAGCTGACCACCAGGAACGTGTAGTTCACGCAAGTCGCCCAGTCTATAAGAAACAGCAACAGGACCGCAAGAGAGAGAGACGGCTCTGTGTTAGCATGGGAATTCACCCTCACTAACTCAGCCCCAAAACCCTGCTCACTAACTGAGCCAAACACCAGCAGGGCCAGTTAAGTCATTGAATTGGGAAGGGGCTCAGAACTCCCCAGTTCTGACCTTAAAAAATGTGTGAAGGGTTTGGTAGTGTTTGGGAGGGAGTAATTTCTGGGCAGGGCGAAACCTTAGACAAATTTCCTTACTCCACACGCCTCCATTCACTTGCAGTATGCAGGAAACCGGTTGTTAGTCAATTAGCGGATCGTTTTCCCAAGGTAATAAACCCTCCATAAAAATATGTGATCACTCAATCCACGGTCGTTTGTGGGACACTGCTGTGTGCAATTGGTTGCCACGTGGTCTCTTTACTCATCTCTTACCCAAGACGTCCTTCTCGTGCTGGGGAATGAGGGTTACCCACTGCATGGGCTCCGGCTTTTCCAGGTCGATGTTGATGATGCAGTAACGAGGGGCGTTCAGGTTGGTCCTGAACGTAAAGACTGAACCTTCGTTAGTGATGTAGCTATACTCCGCCTCAAAGTTGTCAATCAGCTTCACCCATGGCAGGAGGCCTGGAGAGGGAGGGGGAAGTCAGTCAGAGCCCGGCAACGCACCCCACCCCATCCATCCCTCGATTTGTTTGTGAGAGATGTTGGAAGCAAATGGACGTCCTTCCTAACCAACGCCCACCCACCCTCCACAACTCGCAAGCCCAGGGCGACGTATCCAGTTATTATCCCGGTGGTGAAGGCTGACGTACCGGTGATGCCTTGCGGCAACTGGTGCAGGTCACAATACCAGATCCTGTTCTTGGGTTTGCAACCTTCCCTGATGGATAGCACCACATAGCGGCCTTGGTCAGAGACCTGGTGATCAGCAAGAAACAGAGCTCAGAATAATTGTTCACACAGCAACAACAATTTATACAGCGCCTTTCATGTTGGAAAGACGTCCCAAGGCACTGAGCAGTTAAGAAATTGCATCAGAGCTGAGCGAATCAAGACGGTTGGAGGTGGAGGAGAGAAAGACGTATTTTGTAGGTCAATGATTCAATAAATACCCAGAACGAGTTAACACAGTCAAACCTGTACAAAGAGAGGGCAGTGATCAGTGGTCAGACTAACTGACGTCACACTGGGGGGGGTGGGGAGGGGGGTAGTGTGGAGTGGAGGAGCTGGGGGAGGATACATTGAGCAGAATCAGGAAGGAATTGAAGAGTGGTTTGTTGACAAACTGATAGTTTGGTTGTGTTTTAAGCAGAGAGAGCGACATGAGAACATCGCACACCTCTCAGTGTCAGATGTGTGACCCCCTTCCTCCCTTTCCCAATTCATCCTTAAGTTACCCGAGCCCCGCTTTTCCATTTGGGATTATCCGGGTACTCAGCACACAGGATGTCCTGGGCCTGCGGAGTCCCCAGTATGTGGTAGTACAGCTTCTGGTGCAGGTTAGAGGTGGTTTCTGTGCCTGCGGAAGGGACAAAAACTAGAGTTACCGTTTATAATAATAATAATCCTTGCACCTTATAGAGCCTTATCACATCATCAAGACTTCTCAAAGCACTTCACAGAATATATTGTAAAATATATGTGTATTTTGTGGGTGAAATGTGGCAGCCAGTTTGCGCACAGCAGTGTCCCACAACCAGGTTTGGAGTGAATGAACGATTTTATTTGGCCAAGACTATTTTTCGATAGTGCCATGGAATCTTTAACATGCACCTGAACAGAACAGGGTCTCGGTTTAACGTCTCAACCGAAGGATGGCACTTCCGACAATGCAATACTCCCCCGGCGCTTCATTGGAGTGCTAGCTTAGACCATGAGAGTTCAAAATATGGGACTTGAACCTCCCGCCCTCGGCTCCTGCGCTGACATTCTGAGCAGCTAGCTCCGTTACGTACCATCACACTTGCCGTCCTGCTCGGGGTAGCGGTTGTAGAACACACCCTTTCCATCGTGCGTCCACGATAAGCAACTGAACTTGACTTTCTCCAGCGTGTCCGGCAGCTCCTCAGGACCTTCCACCTTCAGGAACTTAATGGTCACCCAGTCGGAGCCGCTATTGGACAGTCCATAGGCCAGGATCTCATTGTCCTCAGAGAAAGCCAGCACTGCCCAGCACACAGACGTTAGTGTAAACTTATTGATATCATCATAATAATAATCCTTGCATTTGATATAGCGCTTTTTACATCTTCTAGAAGTCTCAAGACGCTTTACAGAATATACTGTAAAGTGAATTGACTGTATATTTTGTAGGCGAAACCCGGCAGTCAAATTGCGCACAGCAGCGTCCCACAAACAGTCGTGGATTGAAGTGACCAATTTATTATTGTTTTTTTCTTGAGGGATTATTATCAGGCGTGTGGAGTAAGGAAACTTGCCCAAGGTTTCGCCCTGCCGGGAATTATCATAATAATAATTATAATGATCCTTGCATTTGATATGCCTTATCCTTGCCTTATCACATCACCGAGATGTCTCAAAGCGCTTCACAGAATATACTGTAAAGCGGAATGACTGTATTGTGGGTGAAATGCAGCTGCCGGTTCGTGCACATTAATGTGTCACAAACAGCCATGGAGTGAGTAACCAATTTTATTTAGGCGATTTATTCGGACACCGGGAGAGAGAAATTCCCTTCTCTTTTTGAATAGTGCCGTGAGATCTTTAACATCCACCTGAATGGGCAGCAAGGACCTCTGTTTAACATCTCATCCAAAGGACAGCACCTGCAACAATGCAGCACACTCCCAGCACTGCATTGGAGTATCAGCTTAGACTGTGTGATAATATATGTCCACAAATCAATGGCATTTTCTCCACACCAGCCAGGAAGCACAGGGACTTGCTCTTCACAACCAAGGCGTTCACGGGAAAGGTGACAGACCAAGGTTACCAGAGCACTGTGACGTTACTCTGTCACGTGCGCATGATGTTCTCACGATGGAGGTGATGGAGAAGTCTTCTCTCTATCTCTCTCAAACAGAGATACACTGAGCATGATGCATTTCTGACGTAAATCAGTCCCAACACAACTGCGCTCTGGCATGCTATCCCGCTACCCCACATGAAGGGTGCTATATAAATGCAAGTTGTTATCATTGATTTGGACAAAATTATAATTTGACTCTAGACATCTTAAAACATTCAAGCAAAGGACGAAAACTATATGACGAGGAACTTACTGGTTAAAGCCTTGGTCCCGTCTTCGGACAGTTTGTTGGGATCCAGGAACGCGCGAGGTTCCCCGTCCAGCGAGTCCTGCACATACAGGATGTCCTGGTTCTGCAGTCCCGTGTTGTGAAAATAAAAATACCTGAAAACAATACCACATCGTCACCTTCCAGGTCAGTTCTGTCCAATGTCTCGGGACGTCCTCCCAACACGAGAGGTGCTGTACAAGTGTAATTTGTTGTTACATTATGTTAAGACCGAGGTTCTTCTGATTGGCTCATGCCGGTGCCTCCATACTTCAGGCGGTGGCTCCATCCAAGGGGATGTACACTCCACCTCACCAAGCCAGTCAGGAACCCAGGCATCTTTTTTGACCATTAACTGTCTTTTCTCCCCCACATTTGTGCCATGACCCACGTTGCCTTCCCCCACCTCCCCAACATTGCCCGACTCCATCACTACCTCACCCCTTCAGGCCGCCGAAACCCTCATACATGCCTTCATTACAACCAGGCTTGACTGTGCCAATGCCCTGCTTGTCGGCCTTCTCAACTCCCTCCACAATCTGCAATCATCCAGAAATCTGCAGCTCGTGTCCTGTCCCGCACCAGGCTCCGTGACCCCATCACACCCATCCTCGCCCGGTTCCACTGGCTCCCCATCCTTCAGAGGATCAAGTTCAAAATTCTGGTCCTCACCTTCCAGGCCCTCCATGGCCTTGCCCCCTCCTACCTCTCCTACCTGATAACCTCTGATCCACTTGTCCACTTCCTCCGCTCAGCAGGCTCCAGCCTGCTCCATGTCCCCCGCCCAGCCTGCCCCACCATCGGCGGTCAGGCCTCCAGCCTCACTACTCCCACCCTCTTGAATTCCATCCCACATTCCCTTCACCTCGCACCCTCCCTTGCCTCCTTCAAGGCACGCCTCAACACCTTCCTCTTCGACAATGCCTTCGGTCACCCTCCTACCCTCTCTGCCCTCCACCCTCCCTGATCCCAACCGCCTCCACACCCCCACAAACCCCTTGTGTCCCAAACCCTGACTGTTCAGTGCATGTGAAAGGCGCTTTACAAATGTAATTTTGTATTTTATTTTGTATTGTAGCATCTCCTCACCCACTCGCCAACTCCCTCCCCCCACACACCCCCACCCGTTTTGATCCAAATCTCTCCCTGACCCAGCTAATGCCTCACAGCTGGTGAAATGAAGCTGGAAAATTACATTCAAACCCAACCAAGTTTACGAAATTGAACTCTGGAGGCCGGAGGGAAGTCACCATAGAGCACTTACCTCTTCCCTTTCCTAGAGGGGCAGCTGTACTTGGGGTAGTCGTAGAGCTCAGTCATGCGCTGGTGGAGTTGCTTTCTAATCGGACAGCGCTCCAGGAAAGGCATCGTCAACTGGTTCTGGGCCTCGACAAACGCCTGAGGAGATGGTATAAGAAGGAGGTGAAGTCAAGCGGTCACCGGACACTGGGTCTATCCCAAGGCTCTGAGGAACCGGCAACTGCTGGCACAAAGCTAACACTGGCATTGCAGGCAGAAAGATAGTACACCCCATGTACAGGAAAAGGTTAAATCCACCCCACACCCACCAGTTCCCATCTAACAGTCCATCTGGTCTCAGATCGATATGAAGGTTGCAGACTTGATTCAACATTTAGTTCAGTTTTTGGGTATCAGGAAGGATTACCAGCCCCCGACTCAAGATGGTTCAGTGACAATTCACTGCTGTGATCCTATAACCTGGTGGATCAGGCTCGATGGGTTGCCCCCTCTACCCCACAGTTGGGTTTCATTGTGACCAATTGTCTCACCTTGGTCTGCTCGCTGTTCGGGTCTTCCAGCCAGGCGTAGGGATCAGGGACTTTTGTCCCGTGATAATCATCGACCTGTAGGAATGAAAAGGGTAGGTGACTGCCTGTGTCACATGTGAGGTCAACTCCTTGTGTGTCAGCCCGATGCAGTGTGTGTCAGCCCGCACAGTGTGTGTCAGCCCGGCACAGTGTGTGTCAGCCCGGCACAGTGTGTGTCAGCCCGGCACAGTGTGTGTCAGCCTGTCGCAGTGATTGCGCTCTTGCTTCTGAGTCAAAAGGTTGTGGGTTCAAGCGCCACATCAGTACTTGGAATCATATAGTCTAAGCTGACACCATAATGCAGCGCTGGGGGAAAAGGGGGTTTTGCATTGTCGGAGGTGCCATCCTTCGGATAAAAGTTAAACCGAGGTCCCGTCTGCCTGTTCAGGTGGGTGTTAAATATCCCACGGTACTATTCGCTGATTTTTGCCCATGCAATGCAAAGTCACTACACTTCACAGTGTATCCTTCGAAGCTTTGAGGAATCTCGACAACACGATAAGGCGCTGCGTCGAATGCAAGTGTGACCATTACAATACCGCTCCGTCTACCACGATTAATGGAGCCTCGCCGTGTCAGCGGCCTCTCGCTTTCACAGAACACTATTTGATTAAAGCTTGTTTTAACCCGTTGAGCGGTTTTCCAGGTGAGAGCAAATCCACCCGCAGGAGGGGAGCTGAGCAAATCGAAGCTAAAACATCCAAAGTGACCATCAAACGTCCCCAGTTTGGGCGAGTTCAGAATTTTCCCTTTTTGTGTCCGTTTCGCAGCGGAACTGCACTGCAAATTTCAGATTTTCAGTCTCCAACTGAAAATGGCACATCATTTCACGTGGAATTTTTGATGCGTCTCAGCGCTGACTCTCACCTCTCACTCACTCACTCACTCACTCACTCACTCTCTCTCACTCACTCTCTCACCTCTCACTCCCTCTCTCTCTCACTCACTCTCTCACTCCCTCACCTCTCACTCCCTCTCTCTCTCACTCACTCTCTCTCTCACTCACTCTCTCTCTCTCTCTCTCACTCACTCTCTCATCACTCTCTCATCACTCTCACTCACTCACTCACTCTCTCATCACTCTCTCTCTCACTCACTCACTCTCTCACCTCTCACTCTCTCTCTCTCTCTCTTACTCACTCTCTCTCTCACTCACTCTCTCTCTCTCACTCACTCTCTCATCACTCTCACTCACTCACTCTCACTCACTCTCTCACTCACTCACTCTCTCATCACTCTCTCTCTCATCACTCTCTCTCTCACTCACTCCCTCTCTCATCACTCTCTCTCTCACTCACTCACTCTCTCATCACTCTCTCTCTCACTCACTCTCTCACCTCTCACTCCCTCCCTCTCTCATCACTCTCTCTCTCACTCACTCACTCTCTCATCACTCTCTCTCTCACTCACTCTCTCACCTCTCACTCCCTCCCTCTCTCATCACTCTCTCTCTCACTCACTCTCTCACCTCTCACTCCCTCCCTCTCTCTCTCACTCTCTCACTCACTCCACTCCACTCCATCACTCACTTGTGTCTCATCCCGAAGAGCTTTGGGGTACACAAAGGTCATTTTTTTTCCCCCCCCAACTGTCCTCTTGCTCTCACGGTGTGGGGGGCGATGCAATCCGGAGCCGCGGCACTTGGATCCGAATCCACTCCACAAGAGAAAGTGAAATTGACTCGTTCCGCACTTCCGCGTCTGCGCCTCCGGCGCTCACACAGCGCCGCGTCCGCGCCGACTCTCCCCACTCACTGACTCGCCTTGTGTGTGTGTGTGGGGGGGGGGGGGGTCTGTGTGTCACTGTGTGTGTCACTGTGTGTGTGTGTCTCTGTGTGTGTGTGTTTCTGTCTGTGTGTGTTTCTGTCTGTGTGTGTGTCTCTGTGTGTGTGTGTGTCTGTGTGTGTGTGTGTGTCTGTGTTTTTGTCTGTGTGTGTGTGTGTGTGCTCTGTGTGTGTGTTTCTGTCTGTGTGTGTGTCTCTGTGTATGTGTGTGTCTCTGTGTGTGTCTCTGTGTGTGTGTCTCTGTGTGTGTGTGGGGGTGTGTGGGGGTGTCTCTGTGTGTGGGTGTGTGTGGGGTTGTGTGTGTGGGGGTCTGTGTGTGTGTGTGTGTGTCTCTGTGTGGGGGGGTGTGTGTCTCTGTGTGTGGGGGTGTGGGTGTGTGTGTGTCTCTGTGTGTGTGTGTCTCTGTGTGTGTGTCTCTGTGTGGGGGTGTGGGTGTGTGTGTGTCTCTGTGTGTGTGTCTCTGTGTGTGTGTGTCTCTGTGTGTGTGTGTGTCTGTGTATGTGTGTCTCTGTGTGTGTGGGGGTGTGTGTGGGGGGTTGTGTGTGTGGGGGTGTGGGTGTGTGTGTGTGTCTCTGTGTGTGTGTGGGAGTGTGTGTGTCTGTGTGTGTGTGTGTCTGTGTGTGGGGGTGTGTGTGTCTCTGTGTGTGTGTGGGGGGGGGGGGGGGGGCGGTGGGTGATTTCACATTCTAAAATCAGATTTTGGGAGAGAGAGAGAAATATAAAATAAATGCAACCGAAATGTTTCGATCACTTGAACCTTTGTTTTGTGCGTTGCCTTTGCAGGTCAGCAATTGGCGGCTCAGGTGGTTGATCAGTAGCTGTGGTACAACATTTAGGCCATAAGATGTCGCTCGAATCACATTCGTTTCTTACGAATCCTTGTATTGGACACGACAGGAGGCGCCTTTCACTTTGGGAGGAGATCTCTCCAAGAAGGTCACAGATCACTAGGAAATGCTAGTGACTGTGGATTTTGTAGGCGAACATTTTGCGGCTGCTGCGGGCCGGGAGATGGACCTGATGTGTTCACGGTTTGCGTAAAGGGGCCTTGTACTTAACCACATGGCTTTCCAATAGGCATATTGTATTTGGAGTTAATTATTTATGCTGTTGTGTGCTCTCACCATTAGACGGCGGTGCTGCCCCTTTCCGATCGCAGTGGATGTGTCACGAATGGCCACAGAAATTTGACTGGGGTTAATTACAGTGAATTTCCCCGCAATGCCAAGGGAGGAGTTCGATTGGATTCCAGCCTGCAGTTCCCTCGTGGAGAGTCCTGGCTCCTGTGGGGTGGCCGTTAGCGTTCAGAGACACAACCTTGCTTGGAGGGCGCTGTATAAGTGCAACCCGTTGTTGTTAGGTGCATGGGTGAACTGAGTTAGGGACAGAGTCACGGGGTATTAGATACTGAGGGGTTCACAGCACAAAACTGATCTTATAGTGCTATTTCAGAGCACCCAGGTCGCAACTTTGAGCTCTCAGTCCAGGCTGATGCTCCAGTAAAGTATGGGGTGGGGTGGGGGGAGAGGGAAGTGCTGCTTTGTCAAAGGTTGCCCTCCTATGGTTGGTAATTTAAGATGAGCTCCAGTCTGTGCCCAGTTCAGGGGATAATTGCTGTGTGCAATCGGCTGCCAGTTTCGCCCACAGAATATACTGTGAATTCACTTTACCGTATGATAATAATAATAATTCTTGCATTTGATATAGGGCCTCATCACGTCTTCGAGACGTCTCGAACTTCACACTTACTGTAAAGTGAATTGACTGTATATTTTCATGGGCAAAACTCGGTTTACTCTGTGAAGCACTTCGAGATGTCTCAATGCTATACATATTGTAGCGTGTCAAATGCAAGGATGATGATTATTATTATTACATTAAGGATCCCCTGGCACTATTGGAAAAGAGAAGGGAGTTTCTCTTCCTGGTGTCCTGACCGACAATCTCCCAGATTATTGATCATTCACCTCAATGCTCTTTATGGGACGATGCTGTCCACATTGGCCCACAAAATATGCAGTCACTGCATTTGACAGCAATTCCCAGTGAAACGCTTTGAATGATGCTATAGAAGCTATTAATTCAAATGTATTATTAATAACATTTTTACACTGTCAGTCCCAGTGGTCACAGGGTGTCTGGTGTGTGTGTCTCCTCTCGTTATCTCTCTCTCTCGCATTCACATTCACACATGTGTTGTTATTGCCTGGCCTCCTCCTTGTCCTCTGAGTCCTCCGATCCACCCTTGGCAGCCGTGCCTTCAGCCATTATCCTCTGAGGCTCTGGCTGTCCCTTCCTCAGTCCCTTCGCCTCGCCTCCTCTCTTCCTATTTTCAGTTCTCTGCTGAAGACCTTTCTTTTCGACCTTTGTTCACCTTCGGTCACCTTCCTTCCCCTCCCCCTGGCTCGGCCCCGGGATCAGTTACTGTGAAGCGCTCTGAGACGCCGTCCGGCATGGAGGGCGCTATATAAATCCAATTTGTTGTTGTTTTACATGATGTGCAGTATGAAGCAGTGCTCAGAAGCCTTGAACGAATTTGAGAGCTTTAGAATTCAGCCATAAATTATGTGTGAACAATGAGGAACCAGAATGACTGAATATTATTTATTCAGGAAAAGTTGATTCAGATCTTCAACGCTAACATAAAGATGTCAAGTGCCGGTCACAAGAGTAAAAGTGGAGGAACGGAGAAGGGAACAGAATATTGCTCGGGATTTAACAGCCACAATAAAAATCACGTAGAATCGGACACAAGTTTAGAGAAAAGGAGCAAATTATTCTGGGAGAAATCTGAGGCAGCGTTATATATAATCTAAAATGGTAAATATTCTCGTGTGCTGACTGTGTTTCCAGGAAAACGCAGTGTTTTTCTCCAGCAGAGATCCGACTGTTCCCAACCTTCTGCTCACTTCGGGGGGATGGACAGGAAGACGGGAAGGGGGAGTGTGGGTATGGGGAAACAATTGACTGACAGCTTCTCTCAGCGTGTGCGTTCACAGAACTCGTATCTCTTTGCTACAGTAAATTATAATAATAATTCTCACTTTTAACACAGGGCCTTATTCATGTTGTTGAGTCACCTCAATAAGCTTTCCTGGAAAGTTTAATCACTCTGTGTGTTTTGAGGACAAGTCCTTTAGTCACTTTCCCGTGACCACTTACCAAAACACAGAGACTGACCAACTAACTGACCACGAACCAACGGTCCAGCACAGACACTGTTAGATACACTAGCACCCAAACAAAACATCATCTTTCTCACTGTGACACACCAAAAGGGAAGAACTTGCATTTCTACAGCAACTTATCACGTTGTCAAGGTAACAACAACAAATAAATTAAATTTGCATCGTGCCTTTCACATCAGACACGGACCGTAGGCAGCTGCTAGATCACTACATGGGAATTTTTCTCCCACTGTCCTCCAGGCTGTTGGTGGGACATTGCTGTGACCAAGTCACAAATAACAAGTCACTACACTTGAAACTGAGACACTGACGTGGTAAGTTGCTATCCCCTCCCTACACCCACACACACATATTGAGGCTGAGGCTCTAGTCTCTGCACTGAGAGGAACGTTCAGAGATTGATGTCAGGGAATTGAATGCGAAGCTCAGACTGGAGAAGTTCTGGGGGGTCCTCCTTACATCCCAGCATTTGTCTCCATGACACTGAATCATCTTCTCCCAGATTGTTTAAGGTTGGAACTCCTTTGATGTAACAGGTAGTGGGCGGACAACTCCAATGATAAGGTTAACACATGCTGAAGGGCACAGATGCACAATTTTAGAGCCAATTAACTTTCTTCAGATTGACAGATCAGTGTCATCAAAGAATTCTGATCAGCAGAAGGAAATGGTGCAAAGGTCCTTCAGGTTAAGAAACACAACTTTCAAAAAGATCAAACAATTGAACGAGGAAAATATTTCCAATAAATTCAGTTGATCGAGGGTTGCCAATGATCTCACACCTACCATCAACTTTCTCTAATCTTATAGATTTGTCGCCTCGGGACTCTGAACTGGCAGCGAATCCTCTGCCCAGAGATCAAAAGGCAATATTTGAAATAAGTGGTTCATTCTCACTGCAAACTCACCCTAACCAGCACCCACCCCCCTTACCCCCCCCCAACAACACCACCAACCATCAGAGATAGAGAGACATATGGTTTGTGATGGGCCTAAAGCCACATTCTCAAGGTTAAATGACCAGCAATGGAGGCAGTGCTACTTCTAGCTTTGAATTGGTCTCAGTTCGGATCGGTTGGTTGAATGGCCATCTCTGGGTAAGGAGATTGTGAGTTCAAGTCTTATGTCAGAACTTTGAACTCACAATCTGGGCTGATGCTCCAGCGCAGTGCTGGGGGGGAGCGTCGCATTGTCAGAGGTGCCGTCCTTCAGATGGGATATTAAATTGAGATCGGGGGAATGGGGGTAAAGCTCAAAGTAGAGTGTGCCACACCCTGATGCTCAGTTACAAACTCAGTATGTCAAGCGTTAAGCAGAAACAGCCCCGAGCGCTGATACAGCAGAGGGTGAAATCTGAGGAATTATAAATGACATTTAATGTGTTTGTTCTGCTTATGGGCTCAGCTGTCAACACCACACGTTATTAATTAATCACCGCACATACACCAGCAGCTTTGAGATTCCCGAACCTGGAACTCACTTACACACTGGGTTGCAGGTGGGGGGGGGGACAGCGGAGCTTTTGAGTTTGTACTGGGAACGAGGGTGGGGATGCACTAAAGTTCTATTGGGGCAAAGGAAGTCTTTGAGTTGTTGATGTCCTTTTACAGAGCTAAAAACCTCTTGTTTGTAAAGCTCAGCAGACAGTGCTATCAATGGCAAACTGTAGTTTTAGTTGGTTAGTCTCCAGCAGTTACCCCAACTCACACTTT